CTGTTTTTATTTTGTGATTCTCACCTCATGTCAGTAACTTCCCTTACTGTCTTCTGCCAGTTTTGATTGAGTGTAAGAAAAACAAATTCAATTTTGAGAAGATTTTAGGAAAGCCTTAAATAAACATTACAAGTGCATGTGTCAATACTAGTAAATACAGAGAATATGGATGAAAATATTCAATTATAGTTACTGTTGTAAATGTGTATTTTATTTTCATTTCTAAAAATTGGAAAAATGAGGCATGCAAATGTGTTATCCAGTGTTTTTTGGCTGATCTTGTTTGGCAGAAAAGCAAGTTTTCAACGTTGAAATATTATTGCATCATAAAGTTATGGTGTCAAGTGTTGGCAAGCAATTGCCTATGTACACTACGAGCAGACACACAACAGAAAACACTGGCATTCATTTGGAATCATGTTTGGTCCACCTGCTGAAAGCCCAATATTCACTCTCCTTTTACCTCTGTTTTCAGTCTCTAGCCAACTCCTGAGGGAAATATCTGGCTATTTAGCAGCAAAATCCTCCACCGTGTTGCTCACAGTGTCTGTCTGCCATTTGGGGCTGGGCAGGTATCATGCCTTATAGCTTTTTCAGAGTCAACCATGTCAGAGTGAACCAAAACTGCAAACTTGTGGTTTGTGAAACCAACACAATGAGCTGAAAGATGCTAAAGTGCTCCATATAGCTGACGGGAACTGCACAGTCGGATGGTAATTATCTGTCACTACAACCTTTACTACATCCTTTATTAACATAAAAATATTGATTAATGTAGCTTTAAGCCATTTCTATACTTCATCAACCACTGTTGGTCAGATTGAGTTTGTGTGTCACTGTACTCAAGGCATTTCCCCCTGGCTTTGTTTGGCACATCAATCAATCAGAACACAACTTGTCACGGTGCTGTGGCGTCTGATCTGATCAGGTCGGCGGTGATATATAAGGTCAACTACAGCCTTTTGAAATCCTTCACTGTGCCAGTCAAGTCGGCTACCAAATTTCAAGAATAATCAAGTGAAAAGGTTCAGGCTTCATCCCAGTGGTCTGCATGTTTTTCTTTTATACAAAATGGAAAGGTCATCCCATCAGAGACAGACCTCAGAGCAAGACATTGCTACATCCAGTGATACACAATGACTGAACGGGAAGATTTGTGGATATTTTACATTGTTGGTACTGGCATTTGGTTTGAATAGATACTGCATTTTTTTCCTAGATGAACAGATGGTCTCCTCTGATGGTTGGAGCACTGATAATAAAAGAGTGTGTTATAATAGACACAACATCATTTTTTTTGGATAATAAACAGACAATTGTTGTTTCTCATAATCAGGATCATTTAAGTAGAGCACTGAAGTAATTCACCTGATATGGACACTGAGAGAATAATAATTAAATAGTGTAATGGCCAAACATTTGACCATTGCTCCCCCATTTGGCCCACAGTTGTACAAATAACCTTGTTCCTTTTTCCATCTAAATGCAAATGGACAGGTATTGAAGGAAGTGGAAACCACTGGCCTTTGCTAGCTGCCTATTTGTGTTCCCACTATTAACCATAGGGTTTTGTAGTGGTATTGTGGGAAATGCATTGCCCGCTCGCTGCTCCTATGCATTTCAAGAAGGTTTCAGATGGCCCGGGACATGATGGGAACAGTGGGTATTAATACACGTGTCATAAAAGCAAAAGGAGTCTTGCTTTTTGCTGATGGTATTAGTGATCAGATATATAATGACACGGAAAGTTTTAGCTTATGAGGCAAAGGCAGGTTGGTGTATGTATATTTGATTTCTAGAAGAAAAATTCATGGTGATGGTGGGGAAAAAAACTGATTTTTCTACTAACCAAGATGGGTAGCACCAATGATATGAATGCAGAAGTCTGTTCTGAAGTTTTTAAACATGTTGCCTGAATCACAAACATTAATTAGTAACTATCAGTCAATGCTATCTCTGGCGTTAGGGTAGGGATAGTGTGACTTCTGTTTGTGATTTTAAGCCATGAGCTGTTTCTAAACCTGGATTTATTGTTGATGCAAGGTGTTAATATCGGTTCCACCATAGATACCAGGTTTTGATTTATGCTTCAGTGTCAGATTTCACTAGTTGATGGATGTATACGTCACACATAATCAGCCCGTATAGTGCTTTAACAGTAGTTGTGTTTATATCTATATTTTTCTTACAATATGCAGTGGCGGGCTACGCACATCTTACTACTGAATAGGAGACTACAGCAATCGCCACTTTAACAGTCTTTCATTCATTGGTTCACACTGGAGGTGTGTTTGCTAGATGTGTGTTACTGAAAAGGAGAAGATAACTGAGCATTTCTTCAACTACCTACATGTCTACACTATCAACTGTCTCTATTTCAAAGAAACTTGTAGGAGAAAACACAAGAAGCCCAAGCTGAGCAATCACAGTTCATGTTTGGGGAAGTGCTTGTCAGCTAAAGTATAGCCCAGACTTTGTTCTCAGGTCTCTCTTGTAAAAGAACTTGGTCCCTCTTTAAGATTAGAAGCTGTGTGTAAGAGCTGTAGTGAAATGAAACATGACAAAATCAGCAAACCACAATGAAACAACGTGGTCACGTTAAAATATTAACTTTTGTTTTTAATTAACTAATTAATTGTTGTAAGCTAACAAATGCATCTGAAAAAGTAAATTGGATGTTTATAAAGAAGAAGCATCTCTGCAGCACTTACAATTCTTTAGTTTTTTTTTAAAGGCTTAAATAAGCATTTGAGACCTGACAAATCCTCTCTAGACAAAAAAATGCAAAGAAGACTGACAGACTCAGAATCAGTTCACAGACAGAACAGGTGAGGGTCGGTAAGTCTACATGAATGACACAGCTTATGCAAACAGTGCCACAGTGACCTAAAGAATTGTTTATTGATTGTGCACAATGTCAAGCACATAGTTCGTCTCAAAGTGTAAGAAAGCTGTTCTCTTCAAGGAAACTTGGGGAAAAACCTTCTCCACAAGGTCACAAGTATTGACTTGGATTCTTGGACATAATAATCACAGTGTGTGTAGAGAGAGCAGCAAACCAAATGAAAATAGAAGTTGCCTTTTGGACACATCTTTAAATGTACTAGAACATAAACTGGATTAAAAGGTAAAATCTTACAAAGACTGCCTTAAAGTAAAAGTAAGGTTGTTTAGTCACATTCTGGGATTGCTTTAACTCGGTCAGTCTTTTGATTGTGTGAGAACTGAAAAGGATCCCATTTTATTATACGTTCATGTTTCCATAAATCCACTGCTTTCTATTTGTTCTGTGTTAATTGAAATGATTGCCCAAAAATTGCAAAGAAGTATCATTGTTTATTTAATATTTCTGTTTCTAGGCTCTAATGAACACCATTCCCCATAAGCCCTTGACCTTTTATGGGCTAAACATCACAGCTCGCCACGGGCAAGATGAGCTGCGATAACGGCAGGACAAAGAGGAACGTGCGCTGTGGAAGTTTTAGACAGGAGCGATTACAACTAAAAGAACTGGAAAAATACTTGTACAGGTTTATGGGAGCTGTGGTTTGTGTCCACACAGTAGTCATTGTTTAACTATGTTAAATCATGAAGGTTTGCAGCAGGAAGTGCTATCGGATGCTGGATTGTCTTAAAATATGAGAATTAAACCTCAGGAATACACTTTAGTAAACTGAATGAGAGCCAGTAGACTTCTGAAGACAAAATGCAAGTTTGCACTGAGTTTCAGAAGCTAGGGAGGCAGGAAGCGATGTGATGACTTTGACTCGCTATACTGTTGATAAAACAGTATTCTTTGCTTCGATAGATGGAGCCTGATTCAACTCCCAATCTCAGTCGAATCTTCGCAGAGTCGTTTTGAAACGAGGATAGTAACATATTGGCTATATGTCTACGTCTAAGCCTCAGTTTAGCTGGAAATTTACAGTGTGAGTTACAGTGACTAATGAGTAGAGAATGCAGCTTTTCAAGATTAGAGCACACACACACACACACACACACACACACACACACACATTCTGACGCAGGCTCCCTGATGGGGCCCACCAGTTTTTTTATGCGTTGTGGGATCCACCCTTTCCAGTGGTCCTACACTGCTGTAAAAAACATTAGATCTAAAAAAAAATCTCAATCATTAATATCACTTCAATTTGACAAATTTCAAAAGTTTTGTCAAAAAAGGTATTTGGCCCTTTGTGGGGACCGTTTCTAGGATTGCCGACTTGTGGGGTCCGCCCACATACACACATACAAACCAAGTTTTTATATGTTAATGGGGCCCAAGGTCACTATCTGCAGCTGCTGACACCAGCCTTTATTATTACTCCCAGTTTCCTTATTTTGGACTAAAATAGTTATTTTGTAATGAGTAATTATGTATACATGTGAAACTTTCCATCTGCCTTTACAGATTACAAGACATACGGCTTCAAAGACAGTTTTATGACAAAACTGAAATGACCGATTTTATTGTAATGACAGTTTATGCCACACAGTTGTCAGTCAATAAACTTTTTATGAAATGATTAAAACAAATTATTAATTTAATGTCTAGAGATCTGTACAATCTGCACTCAATGTTTGAACAACATCAGCCTGAACTTTTATGTAAACCCAACAGTTTCTCTTATATAGGCATTGAAATTATATGTTTCATTGGACTGCATCCATACTATCATGTTAACACAAGTTTCTCTTTCCAATGAAGCCTCAAATTTGAAATCATGATAGAGATATTTAAAGAAATGAAAAATCCTTTGAAATATTTAACATATGCCCCACACACTTTCAGTGTTCAGGCCCTAAAATAAATAAAAAAATGTATTAAAATAAATAAGAAAATCTCAATATCCATCCATCATCTGGTCAACATCCATCCATCCATCCATCCATCATCTGGTCAACATCCATCCTCCCTCCATCCTCCCTCCATCCATCCTCCCTCCATCCATCCTCCTCCATCCATCATCTATTCAAGATCCATCCATCATCTACCCTACATCCATCAAACATCAATCATCTATCCTACATCCATTCATCTCTCGAACATCCATCCTACATCCATCAAATAAAAAAAATTAAATAAGATCTGTGAAATGTGTATATTTGTTGGCCAATGGACAGCCATAAAACCTGAGCAAACCCCTACAACAACAACAACAACAAGGTTACAACAGAACACAACCAAAGACAAAACATTTTAAGATCCTACCTCTAATGTTTTGGTTTTACCTCAGTTCCATTAGGTGCTTTCACACTAGACTTTTCTTCTCAGGGCTGTAATGCGATTTTTAACATAATATTTAACTGCTTTCCAGTCTCTGTTTCTGAGAGCTTGAGGTTCTGCAGTAATACAGCGCTGACACTCTTCTTTACCAGGAACTTGATTCCTTACAATAAATCTCCTCAAATGTGTGTCCACTGCAGCACACTCGTCTGGGGTCCAGCTTCTTTTGATGGCTGTTTGTTTTCCTATGTAGGCAAAAACACAAAACATTGTAGGTTTTCTTTTATAAAGAAATTTTAATCTTACTTAACCCTGTAAGACCCACTGTTTCAGAATTACAACAATTGTGGTTATTTCCCAAAACCCCTTTTGTCTTTTTTTTTTATTGTTTGTTTGTTTATACAACCACATCAATATGATCTGTGGGTCCTACATTTTATTCCCACCATGTAATTGGATCCAGGATTTGTATACAAAGCCCACCCCCCTTAAGTCAAGAAGTGACACATCCTACAACTTTCTGATCAAGCAACATCCCTTTGATTTACTGGACTGGATTCATCTTGAAGTAAGTAAAATGCTTGGAATATGTTTTTCTGTGTTTATTACAGTGTCTAGAACAAGGACATGTACAGTAAATGTTGAAAATATGCCCTACATTTTGTTTAGAGCTTGTTTTATAAGTGTTGCGATATTACAATGTTGGATGAGAGTGGCAGTCATAATTGCCCTGTATTTAAGAGGAACATCTAGCCTGGTTAAAACCAGACCATTCTCAGTTGTAACTGAGTTATGGTCTGGCAAAGCGTCATAGACAAATCATTTCCAGAGGGGCGTCCTCCAACGGACGTCGCGGGTAGGCCTAAAACCAATCAGAGCGATGAAGGAGATGACGTATGCAGAGCGGCGGCCGGCAGAGAAACATCTCCGAGTGTTGTTCTTTGCTCGGTTTTTAACAAAAAGGAAACGTTCAAACCGCTTAAAACAGACGGGATAGCTGATCCGAACGAGTGATGTTCGACGGCGGCATCCATCTTTGTAATGTAGGCTACAAAATCTGCTTCAAAATCCCAGCGCTGTCGTCATCGTGTAAAGCCCGCCCCAATGTTTCTGATTGGTGCCGCGATTTCGGTGGATTGGAAATGAACTTGAATGCTCTTTGCCAGACTAACTTTCAGAGCAAATCTAAATTTCCCGGAAGTTGTCTGGGTTTTCCCAGGCTAAGGAACATCTTGAGGGGAACTTAAATGAAAATGTTCACAACAAATTATACAGGATTTAAACAACCCTTTAGCTTTATATCGGATTACATATTCTATACTGTATTAGAGACTAAAGTTGAAAGATATATTGCCATATCTAAACATTATAATTTGCTATCACATTCTGCAGGACTTTCTAACAAAGAAATTCTGTTTGTGCAAATCTGCCTTTTCTTAGTCTACTGATAAACAAAATGTTCTTATCAATTTATAGTCAAAGAGCTTATTATCATTAGGCCTATAACCTTTATTTAACCAGGTCTGTCCCATTGAGATCCAAGATCTCTTTTGCAAGAGACACCTGGCCACACCTGGCCAATCCTCCAAGTTGTGCGGGATGCTCCTGGTGCTTTGTTCTGACACAGGTGTAAATGTTCATCACTGTTAGTTTTTGTTGTAAACTGGACGCTGAATGCATTCCAGTAAGGATTACAATCACAGTCTACTATAGGTGAGTCATTAGGGTATAGCGTGACCGGTGAGATGTGTGAATAGGCTGCTTCAGTCCAAAGTGTGAAACGTCATAATGAGGCATGTGTGCTATTTGTATACAATGGAAATTTGTTTCAATTTTATCTTTTCCATTTCAGAATGCCACCAGCAAGGAGAAATCCTTGGTACAATGTGCACAATGTAATTGCCATCATCCAAAACGGAGAAAGTGATGTGGACATAGATTTTGACGACACTGATGCGAGTGATGAAGAATCAGATATTGATGTCTCTGTGGACAAAGAAAACCAAGAACCTACCAATTGTCCAGCTAATGTGAATATTGAGCCCGGGCAATCAAAGAAATACATCATGCCACATGACAGACGTCACTGATTTTTCTGGTCAAGCTCTCACAGATGATGTCACCTCCCTCCACACACCACTGCAATACTTCCAAAAGTTTTTGTCAGAAGATTTGGTTCAAGCTCTGGCAACAAATACGAATGAGTATAGCATTCAAAATGATGAAAGATCAGTCAACACTAATACAAAAGAAATACAGGCAGCATTGGGCATGTACCTGAGGATGGAACATTACATTTTGTAAACAATTTAACCGTGCCAGAGACTGAAAAGAGGGACAAACTCTGGAAACTCAGACCACGGCTTGATTCACTCAGAGAAAACTGCCTGCAGGTGGTACCAGAAGAGCACATTCCATGGACAAGATGATGATACCATTCAACGGGAAGTTAGCAGCATCAAGAAGTATATGCAAGGTAATCTATGCTCATGGGGCTTTAAAGTATGGGTGAAAGCTGGAATCTCTAGCATGATGCTTGACTTTGATGTTTACCAAGGGAGCAACAATGATGTACGAGTCAAATCTAAACTTGGATTGTCAGGTGATGTTGTAATGAAGCTTGCCTCCACATTTCCAAAGGGTCAACACAAGAAGATCTAGGCAGACAACTACTTCACCTCCGTACCACTGGTAGTGAAGCTCCTTGAGCAAGGAATCCATTATGTGGGAACAGCCAGGCAAGTGCATCTCCCCAACTGTAATCTTTACATGTGAAGAGCTTGAAGAAGAAGGGCAGAGGAAGCTTTGACCACAGAGTGGAGGGGAAACAACATCTGTGCTGTCAAATGGTACGACAACAGGGCGGTGACACTTCGCTGGACCAGAACCTGTTCAGGAGATTCAACACTGGGAAAACCACCAAAACCTACATTGACGTTAGAAAGGCTTCCATTGTGGGCATCTACAATAAATACATGGGAGGTGTGGATTTGTTGGACTCATTTACAGCAAAACACAAGTATGCACTGAAATCCTGGTGGTGGTACATGTACATCTTCTGGCACACAATCACCCTTGCTGTGGTCAACGCCTGGCTCCTCTACAAGCAGCACAGCCTATGCTCTCAGGATGCCAAAGGAGATACTGAATATGAGAAAGTTCCAAGCACAGCTGGCTTCCTCTCTCATTACGGTAATGATCTATTTGTGCTATTTACCTTGTTTGTGATAAATCAGACTGGAATTTGAGATGTACATAAATTGATACATTTATATTCTAATCTGGCGGACACAACACTGAAAACGCCAAAGAGAGGACGGCCATCTTCAATCAACAAGAGCCCAGAGACAGGAGCCCTCTGAATAGTGGAAAGAGACCACACATGGATGATGGAAGTCCAAAGGCTCCCTCTTCTAAAAAGTCACGCAAACCACCGCCCATGGATGCGCGCATGGACCAAACTGGACGTTTCCCCCTGAAGACAAAGAGAGGACACTGCAGACATTGCAGTAAAGGGTACACCAATACCCAATGCAGTAAGTGTGATGTCCGCCTCTGTTTTTCAGAGGACAGGAACTGTTTCTGGGATTACCACTATAAGTAAAGGTGGACTTCACACTGAGCACATAATTTCAGTGGAGAGCGAGAGAACACTGCAGACATTGCACTGTTAACAATGTAAATAAATAAAGATCTTATTTGTTGGAATAAACAACTCTTCATAATAACATGACTGAGATTATTATTCATTTTATACACTGGTTTGGTAAAAACAAAAACACTGCAAATTAATCCTTAATTATGCAGCTTGATGGGCACCTCTTCGGACCTGACGTGCTGCCCAGCTACGCAAACGCAGCTACGTGGATGTACTCTCTTGTAATTGGCCAGAGTGATCACAAGTCTCCGGATGTTTTGGTCTCGTTGCTGAAAGAGTGCATGAAGCGGTGGAAAAACCCCAGCCCCCTGTGCTGCCAGCTTCTCCAAGCCCCGTGCTCCCTCTTTTGCCAAAACCACCATGAGAACGACCGACAACTGGCTGAAGGAAGAGCTGCAACGGGTGAAAGAAAGGCAGAAAGCAACGGAGGAGTGCCTGCTCAGATGCATTCCGTTTAGTTTTGCTTTTTAACTTTATTTATAGTTAACGGTTTTGATTGCATTCTTTTTTCTTTGTGTGTTGCTGACGGCATTACATTATAATTCTGGAAAAGAAACTGCAACAGGATGCTTTTACCCTACACTCGAGTATAAACACACACTCTCTCACTTAAAGCAATTTTATTCTTTTTTGCATTTCACAAATAATAATATAATAAAAACAATAATAATGATAATATTCTATTTATAAGGCACTTTTAAAAGGTCATTTAATAAAGTCAGCTGCATGTGGAGGCTTAATGAGACTTGGATGAAGGAACACTAGCAGTTAGGAGGTATTTAAGGTGATTATAGGTTGTTCGAGTTTCAACTGGTCACTGTACACCTCCGTTGTTGGAGGAAATGCAAGCATTTTTCCTGAGTAAGTCCATAAAGTGTTAAAGATTTTTTTTTTTTAAATACAACAGACTTCTTATTGATATAAAGGTGATAATGCCAGTCTTTCCCCAACCCTACAACCTGCGACAATGCAGGCTCACAAGGTCTGTTCCTGCAACAGCTTCTTTCAAGTCACTGTCAGGCTTGTGGCACCGGACAGTAAGGAGGGACAGACATATTTCAAGTGTTGAGTCAAGGAAGCAAAGTAAAAGCCCTTAAAAATAAATGAGCAGCTCTGGCCCAAAAGAGAGTGCAAGCCCCAAAGCTTACCTCTCTTTTTTGCAGACACACTCCGGTTTTGGACATTCTTGCAGGGATGACATGCTGACCTCATCTTCTGACCCCTCTTCTCTTGGCATACTGACATCTGGACAAACAAATAACTTTATTGTAGTATACACTACATGAAATATGTAATAGCCGTCAGTGCAGTGGTTGTGTATTTTATAAAATAATTTAGTATATTCAATTCAATTTTCTATTCAGTTTATTTATATAGCGCTGATTCACAACAGATGTCGTCTCAAGGCACTTAATAAGAAGTCAGTATATGGGATTTGTGTCTCTTAAAGAGAGACAGTTTATTTCATCCCGTCTCCTATAGTCCTAAATTCTTTTCAAGTGACTAGTGACGTGAAAATATTAGTTGTCATGTTAGCCCAGGGATGGGCAACTCCAGTCCTCAAGGGCCACTATTCTGCAGGTCTGAAATGTTTCCCTGCTTCAACACACCTGATTCAAATTAAATAGATCAAACAGCTTGTTGCCAAGCTCTGCACAATGAATCAGGTGTGTTGCAGCAGGGAAACATCTAAAACCTAAAGGATAGTGGCCCTCAAGCAGTATATTTCCTCATATAGTGTATGGACGACAGACCGTCCCACGCAGTCCACTAGTGCTGAAGTAGCTGTGCGCCGAAAAGATTGTATGTTGGACAATATAAGATGAACTGATTTCATCAGACAGAAAGCGACTGTTGTTACTGACATTACAAGTAGAATTAACGACAAGGCTGTATGAGTTTATTAGATGTCATCTAACCCGATGGCATATGCGTTTGAGCCAGTGATGAGGAGGAGGGTTGAGAGACCCGTTTTTGGTTGAGGGAGCTGCAGCAGCTCCGGACGGAGATGACAGTGAGGAGAGGGTCGGCAACCCTTTGCAGTGCAAGTGCGGTCACTGCGATCAACCGTGGAGTCTGTTTGCTGCCATGAAGCAGACTTGGATAATGTGCTCAGGGAATTGTCCTGCATCACCTTATCGCGCACATTCCAGATGTTCTGTAGTGACAGGGACGTGTTGGAGTAGCTGTGCTATCCCTGTATGAAGTCTGTGCCGAGAGATTAGAGCAACCTATAAGCAATAGGTGGGTTCCCGCTAACCTCAAAGTTAATGCTACTTGTAATTTCAGGCAGTACTGACGCAGTGTTCAGTTTTAAAACTGGGGTTGTGTTTGACTGATTGTGCAGCCTCTGCATCATACAGGTCTCCTGACAGAGTTGCAGGAGAAAGAGGTGGGTGGGACAAAGAAGGGAGGTGGAGTTGTTGATGTTGAAATTTTTGCCACGTGCTGTGTGAAATGCACGAAAGGTAAGAATTGCGTTCAAGCTCACCGGTTGCAGACACTCCCTGGTTTTGACTTTGTGATGTGGAGGTACATTCTTGCGTGGATGACATGCTGACCTCATCGTCTGACCCATCATCTCTTAGCATACTGACATCTGGAGAGGGAAATAACTTAATACAATACACAAAATATCTAAAACGGATCATTTAAAAATCAATTTAGGAACATCGTATACACATACCTTCAATGTCCTCTGCTAAAGGTCCCTCCATGTCAATGGTCTCTAAAATGATAATTGATAAAAAATTGAGTTTGGAAAGCTGAAACTATGGGCAATCTGCAAGAGTATACAACAGTAGCATTATCTCTCATCCCGTCACCATTACTGCCCTATGTTTTACATGGTAAATAGTTGTTTTCTGAATGCGGAAGACTAAATGTCATATATTGTGCCTTCAAGAATATAAAGTTAATTACCATTCACATCGACTTGTATTTCATCGAGGCTCTTTCCTTTGTAATCTCCTAGGCGTCCTTGTTCCATTGCCAGGAGGACTTTACTTACTTTGGCTAATTGGAGGGTGCTTTCTGGGAGCCTGTAGTGTTTCCTGTGAACAGCGATATTATGACCAAGGAAGTCTGCCAACTGGTCGAGCTCAGTGGTTTTGAGGTTCAGAACAGTAGACAGGGTAGCAATATGTTATATATGAGATTAGTCAATAATTTAATCAGTCAGAAAAGAGAGAGAGTTGAGCTTCTCTAATAAATGATTACTGATTGATTGTTGGTGATCTCTATTTAATTGATAATTAATGCACCAGCGAGGACGAGGACTCGACCGGATTTTGGCAACAGAGACCGGCCCTACCGGGGTTTGTCCCGGTATGCTGGCTGACCAGTAGCCTACATCACTGGGCACGTTGTATCTTTTTTTTTTTTTTTTTTAAGCACACACCTGAGCGCTGATCACTGGACATCACTCCTGCAGGTGTTTATGCCAATCCAATAGATTCAATTTCAAATGAATCCATTTAAATTCAGATTTTAAAAGCAATTGTTCAAAACAATCGATTCAGGTTCAAAGTAAATGATTCCCATTCAAATATAAAATTCAAATTCGCTTACTAGTGGCAAAAAATTTATCACATAAACAATTATATTGTTAAAATGTGTTTTGGGGCTTACCAGAATGCTTTTTGTGCGTCTCAGTGGTGGAACAAGTTCATCATCCGATTGATTGTTGGAATGGTTGCTTGGAGAAGCCTCATCACAAGTTTCTTTCACAACAGTTTCATCTGAATCGTACAAATGATCTGAAAAATCTGGGCCAATATCATTCTGCCCTATAATAACATCCAGGTGTGGGGTGGGAGGTTCGTTTTCCATACCATCCTCATCAGTTTCATCACTATCTGGATAATCAACCAGTGAAAATCCTTGGACAGTAAATACCTAAAAATAAACAAAAATTCATTAAGTATGGAATTAGAAAGGTTGGCCAAAGAAACATGGCATGGTCTGACTAAAAATCTAAATCCAGAAATGTGAACATCAGCCCTTTTAGACAGTGTACAATTATAAATGTTAAAATCAGAGTACAGCTATACTATAGTATTACAATACTATCATATAGTTGCCTGAGGAAGACCATTTGGATCGAAACCTTTGTTTTTTAGTCAATAAAAAAGGTAACTGTGAGCTTTAACCCAGTATGCAGATTTTCTTCTTTTTCCTCCCCAGATGTTACCATAATGCATTAAAAGGTGCCCCACAAGAATGGGACTGGAAAGATGCCAGTGTGTGTTACATTACCTGGCCTTTACAACCCAATAAAGGTCACCTGACTACTTTAAAGCCCCGTGAGCATTGGTCCATGGTCCAATTGACCATTACAGGGGTTTTCAGTGCATCAAATCAAAATATTTAACATCAAAATTCAAATCAAAAATATTGCTTTAAAACATCTAACAGCTCAGACACAGTATACAATTACGAATGTTAAAATCACAGTTGAGGTCATGTCAGGTGTTGCCACAGTGCATTAAAAACAATTACCGTAAGAACTGGACGGAAGGGCCCCACATGGGTCAGACTACAGACATACGAGTGTGTAAAGGAGGGACTTGAGAAACAAATGTATTTGGAAGATGGAAGGACCCCATAAGAACATGACTGGAAACATGCCGGTGTGTGTGACATTACCTGGCCTTTAACAGCCAATATAAAGCCACATAAGCATTGGTCCACTTTAGTAATAGAACACCACCACATACATGTCAGCATAGATGAATGTGTTTGAATGTACTTTTACCTGTGTGCAGGTCTGATCTGGGTTAGGTCTATCATTAAGCATCTGAGGAACAGGGCTGGTCTCATTCTCTTCTGCTGCAGCAGGAGTCTGAAGGCCTTTCACCTGAAATAGACAGACAAGAAGAGACTCAGAACTGTATGAAGAGACATTCACAGGCTAATAAGGTCATCTAATGGTGAAACAGCACTGAACTTTAACTGAGAGCATGGACTAAAAAGCTGCTCACGTCTATTCCAAGAGTTTGCAGTGGATCAAATCAAAATATTGCTTTAAAACATCTAACAGCTCAGACACAGTATACAATTACGCATGTTAAAATCACAGTTGAGGTCATGTCAGGTGTTGCCACAGTGCATTAAAAACAATTACCGTAAGAACTGGACGGAAGGGCCCCACATGGGTCAGACTACAGACATACGAGTGTGTAAAGGAGGGACTTGAGAAACAAATGTATTTGGAAGATGGAAGGACCCCATAAGAACATGACTGGAAACATGCCGGTGTGTGTGACATTACCTGGCCTTTAACAGCCAATATAAAGCCACATAAGCATTGGTCCACTTTAGTAATAGAACACCACCACATACATGTCAGCATAGATGAATGTGTTTGAATGTACTTTTACCTGTGTGCAGGTCTGATCTGGGTTAGGTCTATCATTAAGCATCTGAGGAACAGGGCTGGTCTCATTCTCTTCTGCTGCAGCAGGAGTCTGAAGGCCTTTCACCTGAAATAGACAGACAAGAAGAGACTCAGAACTGTATGAAGAGACATTCACAGGCTAATAAGGTCATCTAATGGTGAAACAGCACTGAACTTTAACTGAGAGCATGGACTAAAAAGCTGCTCACGTCTATTCCAAGAGTTTGCAGTGGATCAAATCAAAATATTGCTTTAAAACATCTAACAGCTCAGACACAGTATACAATTACGAATGTTAAAATCACAGTTGAGGTCATGTCAGGTGTTGCCACAGTGCATTAAAAACAATTACCGTAAGAACTGGACGGAAGGGCCCCACATGGGTCAGACTACAGACATACGAGTGTGTAAAGGAGGGACTTGAGAAACAAATGTATTTGGAAGATGGAAGGACCCCATAAGAACATGACTGGAAACATGCCGGTGTGTGTGACATTACCTGGCCTTTAACAGCCAATATAAAGCCACATAAGCATTGGTCCACTTTAGTAATAGAACACCACCACATACATGTCAGCATAGATGAATGTGTTTGAATGTACTTTTACCTGTGTGCAGGTCTGATCTGGGTTAGGTCTATCATTAAGCATCTGAGGAACAGGGCTGGTCTCATTCTCTTCTGCTGCAGCAGGAGTCTGAAGGCCTTTCACCTGAAATAGACAGACAAGAAGAGACTCAGAACTGTATGAAGAGACATTCACAGGCTAATAAGGTCATCTAATGGTGAAACAGCACTGAACTTTAACTGAGAGCATGGACTAAAAAGCTGCTCACGTCTATTCCAAGAGTTTGCAGTGGATCAAATCAAAATATTGCTTTAAAACATCTAACAGCTCAGACACAGTATACAATTACGAATGTTAAAATCACAGTTGAGGTCATGTCAGGTGTTGCCACAGTGCATTAAAAACAATTACCGTAAGAACTGGACGGAAGGGCCCCACATGGGTCAGACTACAGACATACGAGTGTGTAAAGGAGGGACTTGAGAAACAAATGTATTTGGAAGATGGAAGGACCCCATAAGAACATGACTGGAAACATGCCGGTGTGTGTGACATTACCTGGCCTTTAACAGCCAATATAAAGCCACATAAGCATTGGTCCACTTTAGTAATAGAACACCACCACATACATGTCAGCATAGATGAATGTGTTTGAATGTACTTTTACCTGTGTGCAGGTCTGATCTGGGTTAGGTCTATCATTAAGCATCTGAGGAACAGGGCTGGTCTCATTCTCTTCTGCTGCAGCAGGAGTCTGAAGGCCTTTCACCTGAAATAGACAGACAAGAAGAGACTCAGAACTGTATGAAGAGACATTCACAGGCTAATAAGGTCATCTAATGGTGAAACAGCACTGAACTTTAACTGAGAGCATGGACTAAAAAGCTGCTCACGTCTATTCCAAGAGTTTGCAGTGGATCAAATCAAAATATTGCTTTAAAACATCTAACAGCTCAGACACAGTATACAATTACGAATGTTAAAATCACAGTTGAGGTCATGTCAGGTGTTGCCACAGTGCATTAAAAACAATTACCGTAAGAACTGGACGGAAGGGCCCCACATGGGTCAGACTACAGACATACGAGTGTGTAAAGGAGGGACTTGAGAAACAAATGTATTTGGAAGATGGAAGGACCCCATAAGAACATGACTGGAAACATGCCGGTGTGTGTGACATTACCTGGCCTTTAACAGCCAATATAAAGCCACATAAGCATTGGTCCACTTTAGTAATAGAACACCACCACATACATGTCAGCATAGATGAATGTGTTTGAATGTACTTTTACCTGTGTGCAGGTCTGATCTGGGTTAGGTCTATCATTAAGCATCTGAGGAACAGGGCTGGTCTCATTCTCTTCTGCTGCAGCAGGAGTCTGAAGGCCTTTCACCTGAAATAGACAGACAAGAAGAGACTCAGAACTGTATGAAGAGACATTCACAGGCTAATAAGGTCATCTAATGGTGAAACAGCACTGAACTTTAACTGAGAGCATGGACTAAAAAGCTGCTCACGTCTATTCCAAGAGTTTGCAGTGGATCATGGATAGGGTTAGGATAGGGTCATGGATACATGTCAGCATAGATGAATGTGTTTGAATGTACTTTTACCTGTGTGCAGGTCTGATCTGGGTTAGGTCTATCATTCAGCATCTGAGGAACAGGGCTGGTCTCATTCTCTTCTGCTGCGGCTGGAGCTTGGTTTTTTTTCAACTGGATTGCAGATAAAGAAGAACTCATTTTAACACATCACAGATCAAAGATTAAATGCATTTCCATAGACAGTCAAGAGTAATATTGGAAACATGGTTAATTTTGGAGAAATACAAAATTTTCTTTTGCAACAAAAAAATTTAAAAAAAGAAATCTCTATACTTAATCTAACCAACTCACCTTACAGCGCCAAGGCCATTTTGAATCACCATAGTTGTAATCAATTTCATCTCCTATTTCTATTTTCTTCAGAGAAAAAAGGCACAAATGTGGTTTGTTGTCAACTATGATTTTTTTCATAACGCAATTTGGATTTTGGTGGTTGTCATTGACCAATCTTCCGAGAGATAAATCTTCTTCAGATGCATCCAGCTGAAAAGTATCAAAAAAATGGTAATAGTTTACATCTTTTTAAAAGTTTTATTGAAAGAGTTATTTTCAAAAGAATTTAAGAGTATTTTTGCTTAACTCATTCATCAAGTATTAAACCCTTGTTTCAGGGTTAACTCGTAATTTCGCTAAATCAATACAAAACATCCATCTTTCAATGTTTACCATAAGTGATGATTCTGCCACTGAAAGTCAAAGAGAAATGTGCTTTCAATCTCTGAGTATTTTCTTGACTTGCATTCCTCCTGTGTGAGGAGTTTACCCCTGTACTCCAACACGAAGTCCCCGGGTTCAATGGGTTGTGTGGCAAACACTCCTCTTCCTACAATAATATATAATAATTAAACATTTCATTCTGGGACTCAAAAACAGATACTACAGTATTTTCAAAGTGAGGTTGATGTTCTTGCGTCTAGTCAGTGTATTACCTGCAGACAATGCTCAGCACTCTCCCAGTTGTGATACACACTCTACAGGTAAAGTGCTTTTTTGATCAGACTTTGTGGCCAAAAAATGTTTTTGATGCAGACCCATCCACATCAATGCATCATTGAGGTCCTGTCTATGCTGTCTAATTTTCACTTTTCCACGAGAATCAATAGCCGCGTTTCCACTGTCGGGCCAGTGCGAGCCAGGGCTTTAAACTGGGCCGAGCCGGGCTAATGGCCTCGGGCCAGGAGCACCGGGCTCAAAACCAGCTGTTGCGTTTCCACTGTCTGGCCAGAAGCTCCACAGCGCTTCACTAAAACACGCTAGGGGTGAACTAGCACGGCCCGGCTCTGGCCCGACAGTGGAAACACGGCTACTGTATGTTATGATTGCCTAACGATTATACACTGGCCGGGAAGCCGATATTTAAAAGTGAAGCGTTTGTTTACCCCTGGGTTCGTCAACCAGCCCACGTGCATGCGCACTCAAATACGAGATTTTAATTTCTGCCCCGACTTGACGTCAAGACGGGGCAGGAAATACCATATATGGACACCTATGCTGCAGGAAGCCCGCCCTGCCCCTCTCCCCCTCATATTCAGTCGCGAAAGATGCAGAAACGTAGTGCACACGTGAGTTGCTCTGTTGTTGACTGCCAGAATCAACATGTAACTTAAATGTGTTTCTCTCCCAAGAACGGACCAAGCTGTCAGGGACCAGTGGATTAAATTCATTTTTAATGACGCGGTTCCTACAACCCTTCCCACTGGCTTAACGTTAGGTGTCTGTGCTAATCATTTTACACCGGAATCGTTCACAAATTTGAATGTCTAAAAAACCACAACGTGAAACAAGGCGAAAACACCACATGATTGATCTCAATAACAACTGTAAGCTGATAAAAAAAAGTAGACTACATCTCCGTTAATGTAATCTACATTAAATAAAAGGTATAATGAATGTCTCAGTCAAAATGATTGTTTTTACCATTCAGAGACATCTTGATGTAGACGTCCTTCCATCGACTCTACATCTTCCCTTTCCAGCTCAGATTCAGAGTCTGGCTCGTGCATGTACGGTTGAATTCCGTAGGTCGCAGCCAGGTCGGGTGCATTTACAACTTGCGCCATGATGTCATTTTGGAATGATATGCTGAAGTTACGTGCGGTGTCAACCCCCCTCCTTCCTGCCACCAATCAACGCGCCCCTTTGCATTATTAAAATGACCATCCATGACAGCCAAAATATCACATCAGATCTCGCGAGACAATAATGCCTTCAGAAATAAGGGTCAGAGGAGCTCTCCACTTTTCTTTTTAGAAGGGCCTGAAAGGCTATAATAGAGCGTGGGTATCCAAGGTAATACTAAGTTATGACTCCTTTAAACTGAGAGTGCCGTGTACCATTTAGTGCAGGTAACACCAGTGAAGCGTAAGAACATCATGCAACTCAGACTTTTGACATAGACAGACGGTACTATACTGATCCACAACTGGAAAAATACATTGTAGCCGCAGCAAGGCATGAAACTAAATATTAAATAGCAATATAAAAAACGGAAAGTATTCCTGATTTACAAAATAAATATAGGACACAGAAAGCAATATAACAAACGTATATACAACAAATAGAGAGACTAGTTAAATAATGTTGTGCAAATGAGCTTTAAAGACCCACTCCGATGATAATCATGTTTTTCGTGTTGTTAACATGTTCTTGTGGCATTTTTCTAAAGCTAGAGGACATATCTTTAGAAAATTAAGCTCAAAATTGCATTTTTGAGTATTTCTGCATTCAAATGGCTGTGAACCAATGGCAGTCACTAAAAGGCAGCCTAAAACAGACTGGAGTTGTGATGTAATAACTCTGGGGGGCCACAAGCTCCTGCCCCACTCCGCTCAGGTTCTGAGGAGTAGAGAAGACAATGGCGGATCAACACCTGTGTGCTGTAGTGGGTTGCAGTGCTAAGAAGAGAGATATTGGTATTAGCTTTCATAATTTACCGCAGCGCTGGCTCCGCCCACAACGCAGAGGCTAATTGCTAATGAGCACAGCTGGGACACTCAAGCAGAAGATTACTAACTTTGTCAGGCGAGGAAATTATATTGCCAGATGCCTAGCATGCAACTTAGCCAAGTCTACCCAACGAACTAGCCATGACTGGTGGGGAGGATGAAGCTGCTGCCGGGAGCTTTGAATCTCAGGTGGCTATACGCATCGTTGTTGTACGGGGCTGTACATTGCTCCATTTACACTTGGTCACATAAATGTGTCGGATATAAATCCGATTTTCAACTCCCGCACTATATACTGATTAATGGAGTTAAGATATGTGCTGCATTTTATTGATCGTCAGCTAAAATGTCAACATCAAAGAGAGTGGCAACAGCGCTGGTAAGATCATCGTTTCTTTACTTTTAATGAAGATGATTGTGTGTTAAGCATCTGCGACTTACTTTCACTTTGATTTGCGATAGTTTGCAAGTTGGCTTGATGAATAGATGCTCAGCTGCGCCGTGTTGCAGTAGCGTCGTCATATCTAGCTATAACATGACGTATAGCCTATAATAACACTCTCTCACACGTTATTTTTGTGCATTTTTGGGAGGAGTAACATTTACATGTGGTTTCAACAACCAGATGCACATACACTTGTCCGATCACAGAAAACATATGAAGTGAAGTGTAAACAGCCCCCGAGTGGTGGTATGCCAGCGAGCTTTGCTTGGCATAATTTAAAATGGTTGGTCGCAGAGTAAACGGTCACGACAATACTCTTCTTCTGTTGTTTGTTTACACTATGCACAAAACACAGGTAGCCTAGATCGCGCAGTAGGGTGTTT